AATCTTATTTCAAGCATGATGTGCTAAATAATGAGACAACACCAAACAATTAAGTGAACTTGATTTTGGGCAGCCTAGTCCCCTGCTGAGACATAACCTGCCCAAGAGATGTAGTTGTCTATTGTATATGGAAACCACGTTCAAAATCATCTGTCTATCTAAATGTAAAATGTACCACCATAGCGTAAAAATGGACAGAAAATTGGATCCACACACAAAAGAACCAATTATGGCACTTTGATTGTTGGACATTATTCATGATGATGCTGATAGTAAATGGGGGACTATATTTAAACCTTAGGCCTTCCAAACCAGTCTGTGGGTTTGAATGTTGAGAGCCGTCTCAGTAGGTCACCCCTTTCCCAGGGTCTACATGAAGGCTGTGATGATCCAAGAACAGAACCACCAGCACTGGTACTCAAAGAAGTCCCTATGGGCAGTGAACCAGCTCGGGAAACAGACCCTGCTTTGGAGCCATGTGCTGCCCAGTCTGTGCTTCCAACATTCAATGGAAAAGCAGGAGAAGACGCCCCGGCAGAGCTGAAAAGAAGTAATACGATCTAGTAAGACTCTTGTCACTTAAATATTCATGGTGTTTGGGATAGAAAAATAACTTTGACAAATTGTTCTCTTACTATCCCGTCCTGACTTCACTGTTTGTTTTTCTAGTCAAGGAAAGCTCAACTCACTGCCTTCTTAATAATCTATGACGGAGTATTACAAAGAAAGAAGAAACCAAAATATATTAAAATCAGCTCATAGATTGATGAAATCTTTTATAGACCAACGACCTTTTATAGACACATCTTGACAGCTTACATGTCAACAAAATCTTTTCCCTCTTTCTTAGTATTCTCCCGAGTCCTGCCTAGTTGCTCTCATTTACAAGTTCAATTTTTGAGGCTAGCGTCTAGCAGAGTCCAGGGATTTAAGTGAAATAACTCGTTTTGGAAATGAAAATATAGTAATAAAGAATACTTCAAAAAAATAGACCAATAACATAGAGGGGCAACAAAATGAAGAACGGGGAAATGAAAGAATTCCTAAGGGTTCGAGAAGAAGAACACCATTGCAAAGAATCAAACAAATTTAGCTACAAATTCGATAAGGAATTCCTAGAGACCTAAAACGGCAATGAAGGGGACACAGTAAGAGTAAATAAAATTGTAAGCTAGGGTTTTGCAGTTCCGATGGGGATTGGTCTTACCTAGCAGCGGGAGTGGATGGGGGCGGAGGAGAGGAAGACTTGGGCGGAAGCATAGGATCGCCGGAGGAGCTAATGGCTTCTTCCTTCGTCATTCTCTTCCCCTTTTCGCTCGCTCGCTTCACTGGTTTACGGGGTGTGGGGAAGGTGTTTCTAATCTTGCATTTGCTAGGAGGCTTTATTCCTGTTGTCCGGTCAAATGATTCTGTGCATTCAAGAGCACTGGCACTACTACACACTAATAGGGGTGGACACGGTACGGTTCCGGCCAGGTTCCGGTTCCGGTGCCGCCACCCCATGTCACCGGAACCGTCACCGTACCGGCCGGTACCGGTTCCGGTTCCCGGACCGGCGGTTCCGGTACTGGACCGGCCGGTTTCGCCCCCCCCCTTTTTTTGCTTTTTTTAAAATTTTTAAAGTATAAAATTATAAATTTACAATTGTTTAAGGAAAGAATGAAATAAAAAATCTAAAAATGTAGTTGTTATTTAAATATTTTAAATGAATAATACACTAACTGAAGAACAACCACATTTAATATCCTAACGGTTCAAAAAAAGCGACGAGGTAAAGAACCGTAAATAAAACCCTCGAAGGAGCTTATATATCGCTCACCTAAAAAAAACTAACTACATATTTACATTAACATAAAAAAAATTATAACTTATTCTTCAGAACTCGGACTTCCATCTGTTGTTGCATTCATGTAATGCTCCGAATCGAGTTGGTACCATGACTCTTGAGCTCGACGTCTTGCCAAGAGCCAATCTTGGTTGCAAACCAGTGTTTCAAGAGATTCAGCGCTAAGACAACTTCGAAAGTCGGTTAGAATGTTGCCGCTAGCACTGAATTCTCGTTCAACTGCTACGGTTGATACCGGAACGGATAACACTTGTCTTGCTAGCATGCCGAGACATGGGAACATGTGTTCGTTCCGCTTCCACCATC